GTTTAAAGGAACTTCGTCTTCCAAGCAGTTAGAGCTTGGGATGCTCCTGAGGTAAGGGTACTCGTTGACAGCTTCACGAAGATAATTTTATGGAGTGTGCATGGATGCATCTCCTAGAAGTGCTGCGGGACGTTCTTGCACCTCTAATGGATGCATGTCATTTCGAACTTAGACTGGTAGTACTAATCTGGTCAGTGTATTCTCGGCGTTTTTCAAAGGTCACAACATGCGGTGAAGTCGTTCAACATACTCCGAATCCCGAAGTCGTTTTTCCGAAACAGCTCGATACCGCTGGGTTCGCAGTTCTCCAGAGCGCTATCCAAGTTGTCGTCCGTAGCGATATTGGATAAGAAGAATGTTGCTAGGCGCCTATGTCTCAAGCAAATGACGATACCAAAGGTGGCCGAATTTCACCATACACGCACAATCGACGATGGTAAAATCGTCTGGCTTGAAAGGTTTCAACATACTTCTCAGGCATTCCCATTCTCAACAGACAACTCCAGAGGGCATCTCGGTCAACTGAATTAAACGCGGTTCGTATGTCTAAGTAGATAGCGATATTTGGCCGACCGAACTTTTAAGAATTCCTGAGTATCTGGCGAATCATAGGGATGTGATCAATATAGTTCCGACCTTTGCGGAACCCAGACTTGTCTGTTTGTGAATGCTGGGCTCTTTTAAAAGCAAGGTAATGAGTACTTTGGATGCAACGCAAATGATGCTAATCTCTCGAGGGTTATCGCAATCTGTTCGGGTACCTTGTTTCACAATGAGTGCGCAAGCCTACGCTCCACTCGAACGGGAGTACTTCCGTGATCCAGCTCACTTTGTGGGAAGTCAACTCCCTGATGAGTGGTGGGTCTCTGTCTTTAACGAGTCGAATGAAGTTCATCTGGACCGAGATCACTGTGTCACTTCAAGTGACGAAACTTGTGAGCAGCACTAGCCTCCGAGGGTGACACAACATCCACACACCTAAGAGCACTGGATTCCTGAAGGGGAGCCCTTCGGTGCTGTTGACTGTCATACTGCTGTTTAGAATGCCTAGCGCAGCTTGCATGTCTACGTTCTTGTCAACGAACTGACTTATCACAAGTTTCGCACCGAACTTCACTTATAGTCCGATTTCTGCGGACACTGGATCGGATCAGGAGGAAAAGCGTGCGGAAGTTTCCATAGGTGTCCGCTTGCCTCATCTCGAAGATCCGCTGTGTCCATCGAACCTCGTCCTCCTTTCGGAGGAGTTTCTCGAGCTCGGCGTTGACAGCCCTGTGTATTGAATGATACTCATCGCTACTTGAAACTACTTGACGCGCTTCAGGAAGTTGGAGAGAACGTGCAGTGATTTGATGGTTTGCAGGACTACTCGTGGAATCACGGACTAAGGCCCCAGAGTTATGGGTGGCGTTACTGATATACACCCAGTGTGTCTCAGTGTCGGAGCACATGGCACTCTTGAGGCAGGAAGCCAATGCGTCCTGAATGACACTGAGAGCGTTTGTAATCGAAAACGTCAAAGCATTTCTGGCTACTTTGTTGGGTACCACCAATGTACATCGCAGCCTCAGCACGAAGTGAAGCATGTGCTTCAAACTGCTTAGAAATCCCTTGTGCAGTTTAACCAGCATTAACTGATGGTGATGTGGTCAATTTGCATCCACGGTTGGCCAGATGATTGGGTCCCCAGGTGGCGTCAGGATCCCCGAAGTTGCTACTTGCCATGATCAGCGCAAAGCTTATGCATATTCATAGTGTTCAAAGCCCACATAGAAGCTGGTGGTCATCTAGGTAGTCCATCCACCTTTCGTTAGGCTCTCACTTCCGATTGCAGAAATGAGTAGTCAGTGACTGTATGGTTGGTCACATTGGATTTGACATGACGTTGTACAGACACTTATGGCAGTTTTGTTAAGGCATTCATCCCAGTAGTTCAGAAGCTACATAGCACAGCCTAGTCCGGAAAGGCACCAGACTGAGGGTATGCGCACCACTAACAAGCCCCAATAGGGCGAGACGCGTTTGGTGCTTTTCCGGACTAGGCTGTGCTATCTAGCTTGTGAACTACTGGGATGAATGTCTTAACAAAATTACAACTAAAATCCTGTTACTCGCGATTTATGGCAGTTATCAGGGATTTAGATGACTAGCCCAGACCACCATCGCTGATTGTTTGCGGCTACTTATTCGTCTTGCCTGCGAGCAGCCGAGCCTTGTTCGAAGTTATCTTCGCAGGAAAGACATTCCTTCACCTGCAACCTGGGGACACGGCCGGTAATGTACATCTGCGCCGAGCCGATCAACGGTCAGTTCACTTTCAGGGAAGATGAGGTTTGGCTGTTGGGAGCCCATGCGAAGTCTTGAACCGTAATGACCTAACGCGCAACACAGTAGAGCGATTAACGCGTATTTTGAATCATCATCAATCATCATCAACAGCAGTACATCAGCCATTTGAACTGATGCTTCGCTGCCATACAACCATGACATGAAATAAAGAATAAGAAAAGGGAGAGAAAGGGGGACTTACCTGAAAACCTTAATGCCCTAAGCAAGCATTCTGGGTCAAGGTGCCTACACTTTGTGTAGACAACATACCGTCACAAACAGCTGGCTATCGTGCAAAGATAAGGCGGCATCGGCGAGACAGCTTCCTTGCGGCTTTCACTGTCCCGCGTCACAATCAGCCATTACCCCGCAGATAACTCAGCACCAAACACACTTTAAACAGACAATCCGATTAGGAGACGGCAACAGACGCGCCACTGCTGTCGGTTGCGATCCATGTCATGTAAAGTCTTGAGCCAAGCACAAGGTGAGTCACGTGGACTCCAACCCGGAAGGCGAGACGGACCAACGGCACCCAGTTTGGTTGTCAGTGACTTCATTTCCCGCTGCCAAGCCAATTTCTGTCCACCTCGAGCCTTGCATCATCCTACACCTGGTAGACTGAACAAGGCCCTCCTAGATAAACGGTGACCAGGCATGCGTAGCACGTGCCCGAGCCAACGCAACTTATTCAGTGCTATCTGTTGTTTTAGGGTGCTAGCATGATTATCACTACCTAGTACTCGCCTACGCACATCATCGTTGCGGACACGCTGGTGCCATCCGACACCAGCAATGATTTGCAGACAACGATGATCAAAGACTTGAAGGCACCTCAGTTCTTCAGACCGAAGGGGCCAAGTTTCACTACCATACAGCAGAACGGCCCTCACTGTGGCCTTGTATACACGGCCTTTCAGACGAAGGGAAACTCCTTTCTGTCGCCAAAGATGACGCAGGTTCAAGAAGGCAGCTCTGGTCTTTGCAATGCGTGAGCTCACGTCAGTTTCTATGCACCCATCATTGCTGATGCTGCTGCCAAGATAAGTGAAATGATCAACCACCTCGAGTTCCTCGTTAGCAAGCGTCAAGGGTTCATCAAGTGGCTGGTGGTCCTGCAGCAACACTTTGCACTTTGAAGGTGCGAAGTGCATACCAAATAATGGGACCACTCTGGACAGGCTATTCAGGGTTGATTGTGCCGCCTCAACATTGTCGAAAAGCAAGACAATATCGTCCGCATAATCTAGGTCAACTAACCTTTCACCAGGCAGCACTTCAATGTCTACATCGTTGGATTGCGTCAGGGAACACTGCATGATAGAATCCACGACGAAATTGAACAGAAATGGGAAAATCGGACAACCCTGACGAACGCCACTTGTGGTCGAAAAGCTATCCGATAGGACACCATAGACCCTGACGCGGTCTGTAGTGTTCGAGTATAGAGCACGAAGGATGTTCATATATTTCGTGGGAACACCTTTTCGCGCAAGTGTTTCTAACAGAATTGATCGATCGACTGAATCGAACGCACTCTTGAAATCGAGGAACACAGCTATTGTCGGTCTGCGGTATGCGTGGCGCTGCTCTAGCACCTGCCGCAAAGTGAATATATGGTCTATACAGCCACGTCCTGGGCGAAAACCGACCTGCTCTTCCCTAATCCGAGATTCCCATTCTGCAGTGAGTCGACGAACGATAATCGAGGCCAGTAATTTTGTCACAACTGGTGTTAGGCTAATACCCCTGTGGTTCGCACAGTCTGTGCGACTGCCCTTTTTGTATATTGCCACTATAATCGATTTGCTCCAATTAGCCGGCACACTCTCTTCGTTCCAGATACGTTCGAATAGGGAGGTCAGTGCCCTGCAGAGGACCTCACCTTCATCCTTAAATAGTGCAGATGGGAGGGTATCTGGGTCAGCGGCACAAAAGCGATTGAGGGCTGTGATCGCGTTTCGGACCTCGGCCTCCGACTGCGAAGTAGTTTCACCTGCGAGCATACGTGACTTACAGTTCTTTTCATAAGGGATGTCGGTTCACTCTTTAGAATAATTGATCAATGGTTTACTTGAGTGATTGCATAATATAAACGCACAGTTGCTGTTTTTGGCTTGCTTGAATATCCTGTTTTTTCCCTTTTGGAAAGCGCAACTTATTCCATCTGGCTATCGAGTTTTATTTCCCGATAGATATCACTCTTGTCCCATGGACAGTCATTCAAACCTAATCCATTAATCCGAGTTTGGTGCCGTTCCTTTGAGTTCTGGCGGTGTCAACTCTGAACGAGACTGACCGATTGCCTGTACTCCCAGATCCAAAGGTCACATAACTGGAGCAGGTATCAGCACAGTTTGGATGAATCGGAGATTCGCTACATTTTCTTGGTAATAGGGCTTTTCGGCAAAGCAATGTTCTCGTGGATCGCACAAAAAACTGATGCTGGTAGTTTTTGACTTCCGTTTGTTCATTAGCACTATTTATGACCCACAAGCCCCACTAGAGGATTTATCTGTTATCCACCCACTATTCGTGTTCAACGTACTGCTCCCTCAGTGACCGATGTGCATTGTTGATGAGATAACTCAGGAGATATCAGTCATTGAATGGACCGTTTTTGCCACTGTTTGTAGCTAACCTTAAAAAACTCTTCCTGCTCACATTCTCAGGCGTCTCATACACTCAGTTATCCGACTCAGTTGCCATGAATTCTCAGCACTCTGATAGTTCCACGCGGTTGAACGGGCGCACGACGCCAACATCAGCGCGAAGTAAGAAGCGTCCTCCGCCCCCTTCCACGACATCGCCCCCGTCCTTCAAGCGTGTCAGAAAAAGTGCACCCGTTTGCGAAGACTCAACGTCCCGAAATACATTCAACGGGAAATCCGATTTCGGTAAGGACACATCACTGAGCAGTGTTCACCATGATGCTTCTAAAATTGTCGCAGCTGGTCGTCTTTCTCTGTTGGATTGGGATGCTTTCATTGGCTTGTCAAAGAAGCGTCGTCGGTTATCTTTGCTACCGCGTGGACCTGAAGATTCTCTGTGTGATGCATTCACCGTGGGACATACTTTACCGAACGGACTTTCACGGGGACATCTGGTTACTGGACTGCCACCACCTACTCAAGATAAAGTCTCCTCCGCTCTTCGGAGGAGGGACGTTTCTTCATCCGTGGGCTTGTCAAATCTTATCAATGGCAAAAAATCTACGGATGTTACTGTCACCAAGCATCCAAAAGCCATAGCTGGGAGTACGATCACTTTCGACGAATCATCGCACATGCTTTCTGAAACCTTGTCTCCTCAAAGGTCTTTCCTATGCAATGGTTACGAAGCCAAATTACCGGACCTAGGTTTTTCTACTTCACCGAGCATTAATCCATTCCCCAGCACTTGTCGTCGTCTGCCCACTGATCTGTCAAATCACATGAACAAATCTCATAATCTTGGAATCCACCCTTGTGTTTCTAACAGTTCAGCGGCAATTGACTCCCTTACGAAGCAATCTGTGAGTCCAACCTGATGCTATTCATTGTTTTGCTTACTACAAAGCTCTTCTCATTCCATACTTAAAGTTGTAATTTATTAGCTGTAAATAGGACGTGTCGAGCTGATTGATATTCCTTCGTTGTCCTCATCATTATGAACAGTAAGATACCGGTTTAGTATGCCGTGATCTCTCTACAATCGAACTATACATTTGTTGCTGACAATGGACAATAGGATGAAGTAATAAATAGATCAATTCAGTTCAGTTGAACAACTATGATCCGAGGACCGATGTACGGTGGATCCAGTTGCTATGACTTACATAACAAGAATAACAATAAGTAACAACGGCAAGATAGGGGAGAACGTGAAGAAAATTGAAACAAATAAGAAGTGCATTAAACTAATCAGAATGGAATGAAAATTAACAACCAGGTGCAAGAAACCGAATACAGAAACGTAACTGACTGCGTGACTGCGTCATGTCTGTTACAGTTTCCGACTATTGGTGTGGACCATCTCGTAGCCCCATCCACGAATACGTCACGCACCAGCGTGACCAACTGCATTAGACAGTTTCTTCAGGCCCCTATGCCACGTTATGGGCTGGCCACCTCGCGGTTTCGCCCGACTTGGTGCAGCCACGGCGTATAATACACACCGAGGAAGCTGGTCAACGGGCATACGGATTACATGACCTATCCAAGATAATCGACTAAGACTTAGTAAACATTCGAGTGATGCACCAGGAGGCTTCTTGCCAAAATCCAACTGGCGGACCTCAGCATTGCTCACCCGGTTTTCCCACCAGACGTGAGCAATACTCCGCAAGCATCGGTGCTCAAACACTGTCAAGCATTTATTGTTTTCGCCGCGAACTAGCCAGATCTCTGATCTGTACAATAAGACCGGCCCTACTGCAGCGTTATACACACTACTTTTCATTGGCAGGCTGATATCCCGCCGTCTCTATGGATGGCTGAGTATCTGGAAAGCCACACGGGCCTTGCTGATACTCAAAGTTACTTCCTCAATGATGTGACCACCAGAGGTCGCACGGCTACCATGCTAAGTGAACCACAAATTCTAGTGGCTCTTCGGTGATAGCTGAAACCCTAGGTCTGTCGATCTAGTCCCATATATATATATATATATATATATATATATATATATATATAGCAACAGTCTACGAATAGACAAGAGCCATTAGAAACCATGGGACTCAAAACAAGGTACGTAAATAGTAAAAGAAAACACAGCACATAAAAGTCCCGGTTGCCCAAGCAAAAGTAGTGTGTTGACTTAGGGGACACCACCCCGATCCTTCGGCTGATTAACCTGCCCGCAAGGCATCGGAGCGAATTCAGGGAATCGCGCCCATTGGGAGCCGGTGACTGATTGCTCAGTTCATGCGCCTTTCGTTTGTCCCCAGAATTACAGCATAAAGTTGCTGGAATACAATGCTTCGCCAGGATGAAGCAAGGGGCAGTGACTTTATTTAGTGACGAGTCACTTCCGCCACGTCACAGTGTTGTTTAACGGACATATGTGGCTTTTTATAGGGCGAACGCTTGTCAGGCGAAAACCCACCACATCCTGGAACACTGCAGCCGAACCATTTGCTGGAACGGGAAAATCTCGAACCACCCAGCTGGCACCACAAGGAGGTTGTTCGGCAAGCCAGCCAGCCCGTAGCAGTAGTTTGCACTTTGAAGGTGCAAACTTCATGCCGAGGCGTGCAGCGCTACGTGCTAGTCTAGCCCGTGATGTTTGCATAGTCACTGCCTCGGACCCAAGAGGAGCTATGTCATCCGCATACTCGAGGTTTCTCAGTCGGTAACCTGGCTGAACTTCCACTCTGGTAGAGTCTGTAAGAATGATCAATCATGACCATTTCGATCACAAACTTGAAGAAGAAAGATATAGGACAGCCCTAGCATAGACCCTTGCACAGTCTCTGGAGTCACGGCAGAGAATCGGATAATGGAAAGGTGTTTAGCCAGCTTCCAACTTAACTCTGTTCTAGAACTTGGCAAAGAGTAAATATGTGGTCGAATCAGCCACGACGACGACGGAAACCAGGCTGGTTTTTAGTGGCTCGGTCCTCACGTGGACCAGTAAGTCGTCGGAGATTAATGCCCGTGAGAAGCTTAGAGGCATCTGAAACGAGCTTAATGCCTCGATGATTTTCACACAAAGTATGCGCTCCCTTTTTGAAGTTGGGCACGACAGTTGACAATCGCTCTTCTGAAGGAACCTCTATTAGTGTCTCAATGTTAACTAAAGAAACCAGTCCAGTCAACAAAGAGTCACCACCGTGGTTCAGCAAAGATAGAGGAAGGTCGTCGGGTCCAGGATCCTTTTTTCTTTCCAACACAGAATGCTCACGTCGAATCTTTTCCAAAGTGGGTGTGACACTTACTTCCCTCGTCGGCTTAGGCGATTCGTCAAGCGGCAGTGTCGTAGCAGGTTTGCTGAACTGCTGTTCAAAATGTTTCGCCCAACGGGCTAGTCGACGAAGCTGAGAATGGATCAACTGTCCAGCTTTTTCAGCTATTGTTTCGCTAACGTATTGCTTTCTCGGACCCGTGTTTCGGATGAGCTTGAGTAGTACGGCTGTTTCCACTAGTGCTGGCTTTCTCCATCTCACGGACCCTTGCGCTCCACCAAAGTTCTCGGTCGATTCGAGGATTTCTTGCGATGCGTCATTTCAGGGCGTTACGGACATACGGAAACTCAGTGCCCATCAGAACCTGTTTCCGTGCTTCGATCAAGCTGATCGATGCCTCAGAGATCCCCTAGTAAATAAATAAAGAGACAAACAAAGTAGCATGTCCATACCAAACAATTAAGGTAGCGCAGGCTGTAATTAGTGAAAAGACAAAATACTCGAGACAAGATCAGCCATCTGTTGATTCAACAATGAGATTACATTCGGAACGCGGCAAGCTAGCGTATGCAGAAGTACTCACATCTTACTTTTGGTGCACTGAATTAAGTTCTTCTGAATATGACAGGCTGAGTCGCTGAGAGAATATGGTATGCCATCACAAGGCCGGATCTGAGCCAGACACTCAAGGTCTTGATTCGTATGTGAACCTACTCAGCGTCTAGGATTGGTGCAAACACATCTAGTCAGAGGCGAGTATTGGACAGTTTGACAGCTGTCAAGTACATAACTTTTACTCCCAATTTTCACGAAGCATGTTTGAATAGGTATGATCAGTTGATTATAGGAATACTCGTTGCACAATCACACATTGGTTGCTCTTGCTCAGAATATCACAGGTGAGTGCCAACTAGCCCCATGATATACTGTTGAATACCAACGATGTCAGCTAGGTTCCCAGGTTAAGTTCGTTGAAGTCTGTTTGACTTAAGAATAAATGAATAAAATAAATAATTAAATTTTATATTCCTCAGCGATGCGAGGTGCAGCCCAAGTATGTGGTCTGATCAATGTCCGATCCTGTGCTGACTACTCAACTAAAATTTCCAAACAATAAGTTTGTTTTGGCAGGGTAGAGTTCAAACTCTAAGGGATCTTTCGAAATCAGAAAGGAATTCCTGTCAGCCAGCTGTTTCGTAGCAAATTCGGAACCTGAATCCGAGACGCAAGACGTTATACGATTAGTCGCGTAAATCCCGATCGAGTTTCGGACCGCAGTATCAATTTGGGCGATTACACTGCCTTATTATTATTTAAATTGGGCCACCTGGGCAAGCGACCGCTAGCTGATTGCTATGAACTGGGGTACAAGTGCTGTCCCTGATCATAGGAGTGAAAAAAGCCATTGGCATCACGCCGATTCCACGTACTGACATTCCGCTGTCTCGTGCCCACCGGCCGTCGCATACTGGCTAAAGGTACTACGAACTCTCCAATACCTTCACAGGCTCGAACCGATGACCTCCATTGCAGTCCAGACGCATGAACCGTTCGTTTACCGACGGCTGGTCAGTTCTGGGAATACTGACGCAGATTGGTTGCAGGAGTATGCTAGGCTAACCACCGATCTCACTCCTTGAGTGACATTGTGATAAACACTGGCGTTCGTCAATTAGCCTGGCCACCTAATATCACTGACCTGATATGGCAAAACTACCTACCTGCGCATTCATATCCCATGTAACCATAGCTATATCTGAGCGGATAGTGCTATGTAACAGCTGGCTGGGTCAGTGACAGAATATATCTATGGAAGCACTAGGATTGATGTCGGTGGCGAGTCAAGTGAAACGTATGAGTAACCGCCAACTGGCGTTGTTCCATTCGTTAGTGTTACTTGCTTTCCTCAAAACAGCTTGCGTAAAGGTGGCTATTTGCGGCACTCTAATGGATCAGTAAGGATTTAGCAATGGATCTGAGGTCGAAAGCCACTTTAATTTCCCTCGTGGTCGCCGCATCGAACATACCCGGGCGCGTGCAGCTCATTCCATAACTATACGAGATTCATGAGTTCTGATTTTGGACGCGCAACACATTTGTATTAAGAACATCCTATGTGTGTTTATGAACGAAGCCCGTTGGTCTACCTATCCACCTAAATTGAACACGACCCAAGAGATCAAGCAGTGGAGTTCGATATTCCGTTGATCATAGTGACATGCTAGTAAACAGTGTGCCGACGCGGAGACGAACGGTGGCATTTCAGTGGTGTCACAGATGTTATCAATCAAACCTGTGGCTATTTACAAGAGGCAATCGTCCTCAGTTAGTGTTTGGCGAACTGCAATAGGAAGAGAATGCACTACTCCCTTACTTATTCACCGCTCTACGCCGAAAATCAAGCAACCTTGGAGAACCTGCGGAACGAACGATACGGAAGTATGCCGGATTTTGGCATTATATTTCTAGTTGTGCGCTTAGTCACTGCCTTGGCGTCCACACTCAATCAATTGAGGCTCTCGGGTCCTTAGCGGAAACCATTGGCTCAGCAACCCGGTTGCATGCTGCATGACATTCGCCCTCGAGTACTTCAAGATAACCTTCAAAGGCATAGTCTTGTTTTAATACAACACAGTAGCTGTGGTGTCTCTCACTTCTCTAGGTGATGATAATGGTACTCTTAGTTATTCAACTTTGGCTACTGATGGCAGAAGAATGAGTTTTATCCGTTTACCACGACAGTAATCTGGTTCACCTTATCTCTGAGCATAACTGTTTTAGTCTTCTCTACTCTTCGATTTTTACACTGTATCCCGAGTATTGCTGACATGTGTCAGTGTCCTTGAGTTGTTTGAATCGCGCAAATTTACCAACGAACTTGCACTTTTGCTAGTGTGTTTTACTTGCTCACTTCGAAATTGATGACTTCATGTCGTCCTTGCCTTGCCCGTTCAGTCAGCCTTATTCTCCGCTTTTATCTTCCCCGCAACATTGCCATGAGCATTCCGCTTACTGTTTTACTCTTTGGATGACCAACATCATACTCATTTTCACGACAATGTAAAGGCCGAGATAATAAATTTGATCTTAAAGCTGTGTTCTTGACAGTCCACTTAGTACCTACGAGACGTATGCTCCTTTCAAACAGCCTCGTCTTCTCATGTAGGGCAATCACAAATATTCAAGACATTATCTAATTTGCAATACTCGATTCACTAGTAAATTCAACACTTGCATCGTTGGCATGCCGTAAAGCTTTAATTGCCCATTACTGTAGACAGCAAGTGGGGTAGGACGCTATCATTGAGATGATCCACCGTAGCAATCTAACGAGGGGACTTTCGCCTTCCGACGTATCGTGAGCACCACCTCTCCCTGCGCTTCGCAAGCAAGTCACACATGATGCGGTTGTTTGCACAGGCAAGTTCGCCATCTTTCACTGAAACCCACTGTACTGCCAGCTACAGGATACGTCCTAAATCTACAACGACTTCGTAACTTCATCTCACAGCCGACCGCAACGCGCGTTACCATATGTTGTATTCCTCGAATCATTTCTTGGACTGTCATATGCCTCCGCCTTGATCCGCATCCACGTAGGCAATTACGTGCTCCTTGTATACATTTGGTTGCGCGAGATTTTGCTGGCTGGAACCGTTAGTTATCCACTTGAGCCAAATGAACCGAATAATTCCATTGCAATAGAAATCTGATCGCGATATCTACTCGTACTTTAACTTGGGTAACAATTCATACTTCCACCGGCCTGGCTATGGACCTGCAGCCTCGGTTTTACCCCCCTCTCGATTGCACTATCGAGTGTCCTTCTCGTTCTGTACTTATCCTGCGAGTGCTAGTGACACCGTTTGATCGTATTTTACTATGCTGCTGGTTCCTGTATGATGCAGCCTAATTCCTTTTTAATATTTTCGAGTTGCTCGCCAACTCTCCTTTTATTCATTGTTTGGTGTCACTTCAAGTACCTTTCACTCGGCTATTATTAATAATTCTAATCTGTCCGGTGCTCTGGGTATCTCATTTGTTCCAGATCCCTCCGTCAACCTCGCCTGTGGATTCCGACTGTCCTTGTTCGATCACCACCTGTTTGCATGGACACAAAGCACCCAATACTCTAGTTGGTCGAAAGACAAGGCGCCCCACTCCTTCCCATATGATGCACGATGATTTCGACCCTTCCGATTCTTCGGTGCAAGCTTCCTTGTCTGTTGTTGACCATACCACGGAGTCAATGAAGGTTGTTACTGAGGGATCCGCTACCAAGCGTTCCCCGCAATCAAGGTCCGACGTGCCAATTGAGAAACCGTCTGTGGACCAATGTCCATCTTCTGAGGTAGGAATGTGTACATTTTCTGGATCTTACACTGGGTCGCGTCAGCCACTAGTGTGTTTAGTGTTTTGATTTGCTATTTGTGGTCCTATCGCTGATGTGGTTTGGAAACGTTATGGAGTACAGTAACCGGTGGTTTTCATGCCTCTCTGAACTGATGACTTCCCGACGGGTTGTATACTTGTTCCGCGATATCGATTCGCGAATCTGTTTTGTTGTTGATTACTGATGCAATTGCGTTACTTGTCTGCATATAGTGGTCAGCTATTCACTGAATATTGTTATGTGTGTGGTTGCCTGACACTCCATGTGCTAATCCATTATTGTGACTTCGAGCTTTGAGCTCACAGTCTTTATTGGCAGCTTAAGGGCTATTCGAAGTCGTAAACTATCTTGCTCTTTTGAGCTGGACTAGGCTACTTTACTGCGACCACTTACGACCTCCACACTCGCATTTTCCACGCCCTGTAATAATTTACTTTGCTAGTGGCCGAGTGGTCTACACGCCTTGCTTGGAATCATAAGGTCACTGCTTTGAATCTGCATAGGAGTAGGCGTGCTGGCGGAATATTTAGCTCGTGCGCGACTGGTGGTGGTCGTCCGGCAACGAAGCGCGGTTACGGCGTACGGCTGACACATTATTATTTGTTATTTTTACATCAGCGTGCGCTGTCTACTTTCTCCTTTACATGACAACTGTTTCATGTATGTTGATCGCTCGATTCCCATCTACTTTTTCGTTGCATTTTCGTGACTCTAAACAACACAACAGCAGTCCATAGTTGTATTGTGCATGGTGCGTTGTGAGTATACTTTCAGTGCAGATGGCCTGCATGCTTCTTTTTCTCAGCTCCGCTCACCGGTTTGCGTTTTTCAGAGTGGTGGTGTACATGATTCATCTGAAGACACCGACCAATCTAGGCAGTCGTACGATCCAAGACTTGCTGGACTGTGTCCTAATTGCTCTCGGATTTTCCCCAACGCGACTGGTCTGAATGGTCATTTTCGCTGGTGTAAATGCATGTTTCGTTTTATCCCCGTAGTTTATGTATTGCTACATCGGGTGATGCTGTGAACGGAAGTCTTGACCGAACGATCGCGTGGACACAATGGCGTAACAGAACCATGGTCTTCACCGTTATAGAGATGTGCCTATGAATGTGCAGGCGATCCAGCCGAACAGATGCCGAACAGTGAATGTGTACAGTGGTAACAGTATCGCTACAAATCGCTAGCATGGATCCATCAAGTTGGGCAAGTGGCACCACAGGGTGGTTGACACAACGTTGTTCTCTCCTCTGTTTAGAGTATAAGCTATTCTTTAATGTACTAGGTACCAGAAAATGTATGCAACAAAATGCATCATTTAGCGTTGCACACTAAGACAAAGATATGCAGCATTACGCATCCATCGGACTGTCGCAGGTTTCCATTTGTTTGTGTCATACACTGTGCCGCCTGTTCAGACATACGTTGTGAAAGAGCTGTGTACAAATGCTTTGCATTCACTATTCCATCTGTCAGCTTGTAGGTCCCTGGTGTAGGAACTTGTTATCCCCGGATCAGGGCTGCGATTGTGGTACCTCCCTTTCGAGGGCAAGGTAGCCCCACACAAACGAATGTCTCAGTGTGGTAGGTTTACACTATTCGTCGGCGTTTGGATTGGGTACCCAATAGGCTTTGTTGGAGCGTCCAGCGATCTCGCACTTCTACCAGATTGCTGACAGGCGTAGGATTCCCGCACCATATCCTTGACGCTGGCACTGAGCATTGGTCACCAGTGGTATTGGCGTATCCGGGCTTTGGTTCGCCTTATACCCGAGTGACGTTTGATGTGCGCATTCAAGCACTGTCGGAATAAGTGTTCCAGGTGTAACAAACCGTCCACCTTTCGCAGTGCAACTGCTTACAGAAGATATTTCATGCCTTGTAAAATATTTGTGTGACTCAGGTCGAATTCTCGCGCGGTTTGATTATGAAGTGGATGTTTGTCAGTGTTCTCTCGTATGCCCTTATGTGTTTTAGCCGAGGGCGTTCCATATGAGAGGTGGGATAACATTTTCACCTCCGCAAGGTCGTCACTCTCTCCTTGGTCGGATAGCGGAAGTCTCGAAAGAGCGTCTGCAATTTGGTTAAAACAATCTCTGACGTATTAGACTTCATGATCGTAGAGTAGTAGGCGAGCATACGATTTGACCCTTGTTACCACAGTTAAGCGGAGCTGTAACTGCAGAATGATCGGTGCGCAAGGTAAACTGACGCCAGCGGAACAATTTCTTTTGGTGGCCGACAGAGTACGTGAGGTTTACGCAGCCACTTTCTCCTCGCCATCGTGCAACTGGAACAGAACTGCGCTTAACGCAATAACTGAAGCATCCGTGGAAACAAAAATTGGACATTGCTCATTAAAGATCGCAACCGTAGGAGTGGATGCAACCATATCTCATGTGGTCAGATAGGTGTTTTCTTGTTCGGCGGCTCATCGGATCTCATTTCGTCGGGTCAGCCTCCACAGCGGCTCAGAAATATTTGCGAAGTGCAGCAAATATCGGAGGTAATAGGAACACAGATCCAAGAAATGTTTTACTTCTGGGTTATTGGACGTTTTTGGACAGTCAAGAATGGCTCTGGTGTTTTGTTCATTCGGCCTTATACCAGTAAACTCTACCTCTGTAACAGCGAACTGGCACTTGCTGGTATTCAGACGAAAGTTTAGAGCACTCAACCTTTGCATTGTGTTAAGATTTTTTCATGTTCAACGGGATTGGTACCAAAGGCACAAATGTCGTGCACATCCACAACACATTCTTTGAGGTCAGGTAGGGGTAGATTACTAAATTTCTGCTAGGTGGCTGGTTCATCGAAAAGGCTCATTAGCAACATCTTGTACTGATGTAAGCTATCTTGTGTGGGAAAGACAATCGAATGTCGGCCATCTGGTGTCAGCTGCATTCGGAAATATGCATTTCGAATATCAAGTTTTGAGAGGAGCGTGGTATTTGGAAGTCTGACCGTTAACTCATGGCAGTGGGTATTTTTCGGTACTTTTGTTCTGCATTTCGGGTGTACATTTAATCGAAGACTTTGCTGAGGACTCGAGTCATTCTCCTGTCAGTTGTAGGCGCCCTGCTGGTATTTTTGTCCATATCCCTACCTCTTCGGAGGTTTGGGTGTGGTTGTTGACCCTCTTCCCTTAAAACCTAATCATGGGTGATAACAGGTCTACGGGTAGTAAGCTCACAGCTCGGTTGGCGTAGAGCACGAGCGTCAGGCATTGTCTCTGACGATGGGATGGCACCTCCGGGTCCTCAATGATTTGGTGCTGTCCGCCTCAATCCAAGCTACGCCTGGTCAAATTGGTACAAACCCGCCGAAACCCTCCAGCTTCTAGCCACCGTCGCAGCTCCGTATCTTAATACGGTCACAAAACCCTAACGGATTGTTCCAGAACGTCAAAGGCTGCGTGTGCCGGAACTCAATGAGATCCTAAACTGTCTCTGCAATCGCACTCCCGATCTGGATCTGCTCCCCACTGTCATGTGGGTCAGACTATTGACTCAAAGTCTCCGGACGAACACTCGGTTTGTACGGAGTGCGAGTGATATAGCAACTTGGACGCACCTACGGAGTGATCACGCTCACCTGCTCGACTATGTCATCGTACGTCAGCGTGATATGCGTGAAGTGCGCATGACACATGTACTGCGTAGAGCTGAGTGTGGCACTGATCACAAATTGGTGCGGACCAAACTGTACATATATTTTCATAAATCTATGCGTTGCACTCCTGCTGTGAATCGGCGTAAATTTAACATTCCCTCCCTCGGTGCTTTTGCGAAATGTATTGAGCTGGAGAAGGCGATGGCTGCACGCCTGTGTGATGCGGAATGTATAGCCACAGTAGGCGACCTGTGGCACCACATTCGCGATCGGGTGGCAGCTTCTGCCGAGGAGACCATCGGGCGCGCAAACTGTAAGCGGCCTGATTGGTTTGATGAGAACAATACGACGATTGGCGCATTGGTGTCGGAGAAGAATGCAGCATTTGCTGCATATGTGGCAGACCCCAGTGACTTGGGGAAGAGTAGTCAGTTTCGCAAACTTCGACGGCGACTGACCCGAGAGCTCCGTCGCATTATAGATGAATGATGGTCGGAACTGGTGAAGCACCTGGAATGCTACGCCGAACGCCGCCAACACAAAGAATGCTTTGACTCCTTGAAGGCGGTGTACGGACCGAAGTTGTAGCCGCTGAGGACGCTGATCGATGGTAGTTCAGGCGCTACCTGCACACAGACTGCAGACATAATACAGATCTGGCGGAACCAATTTGACTGTCGTTTGAACAACCGTTCAGAGTTTGACTGACCTACACTGAACGGCCTGAAGCAGCACGAGGTGAAGGTGAGTCTGGCAGACACGCCGACACTGGATGAGTCGCAGAGAGCACTTGCTCAGCTGCGAAACGGTAAGTGTGGCGGAGCCGACGGGATCCCATCTCAAGTATTGAAACACGGCGGACTCGCGTTGGTGACTGTGCTGCGCCACTTGGTGTAACGCGTGTGGATTGCAAAAGAGGTACCTCCTGGGCTGAAGGATGCCGTTGCGTTACCACTGTACAGGGGCAAAGGAAGCAAGCAATGTTGCACGAATTATCGTGGAATCAACTTGCTGAGTTGTGTGGGCAAAGTGATTGCCCGAATCCTGCTCAAGTCAGGTTGTGGAACCGAACATGGTGGAAGTGCAATGCGGATTCCGTTCGGGTCGCAGCCCCATCGATATGATGTTTGCGGCTCATCAGTTGCAGGAGAAGTGCAAAGAATGACACCAGCCATTGTACTCGCTCTTTGTTGATTTCAACAAAGCATTGGATACGGTGAAACGCAAGGCATTGTGGCTGTTGTTGCATAAGCTTGGCTGTCCGAGTTAAAGTTAAAAAATAAACTGTTTATTCTCGCTTGCGCGAGGCACGCCTGCACAGGCATGATGATGGTAAGAAGATA